TGCGTATGCGTTGAAGAAAGGAAAAAATATTCCTAGCAGTTGGAGCAGGAACGGTTGTGCAGGTGAGAGTTGGTTTAAAGGATTTCGGAAGAGAACAGGGAACTTGAGCCTTCGCCAGCCAGAACCAACAAGCAAGGCTAGAGCAATGGATTTTAACAAGCATAACGTTGGAAATTTTTTCGATAACTTAAAAGAATTGTACATGAAACAAGGACCGGTTTTACCACAAAATATTTGGAATCTGGACGAAACAGGCATTAACACTGTGGTTAAAACCCCGCAAGTTCTCGCAGAAAAGGAAAAAACAGGTCGGACGCATAACATCAGCGGAACGCGGCGTAACTGACAGTATGAGTATGGACTATAGACTATCGTATATTTTAAAACATCAACTGTCTGTCTACAGATTGATTTCTCGCCTCTCAATCGTTTCCAATGCTACTTTCTTTCCACTCCGGCATAACTTATCATTGCTTCCCAGGTTCTTGTCGACTCTATGAATTTAGATTTAGACCAACCGACATTAGTAAAATTGATTATTTTCTTCTCTTTCACACAACCGTGCATTACAGAAACAGCCATTAATTTCTATTTCCAAATATGCTGTGGCTTGTATAGTAGTATAAGTCTGCTGAATAGTCAAGAAGAGTCATTAAATTAACCATACACATTTCATGCAAGCCAGAAAATATCGTTGTTTGTGACATATTATTCTAGGACTAGCCTTCCTTGGACCGTACCGGTACCTATTTAACAACGTCTTATGAGCTAGTGCTCAACTAATATTGCTATTTATGGTAAGGATATACAATTGTTTAATATCTTACTTATACTTTTCAACACCTCCTTAGAATAACTGAACTAATAATAACTCAAAAAAACTATGGAAAGGCTACTCAACGCAAAAGCGAGCAGTAGTAGTACATATGATATTCATCCGACCACTGGGGATCCACCTACAGCTGACTAATTTAATTTTTACGTCATGCAGAAGTCTGCGTTCATTGGCCCATGATATTGAAAAAGCAGAGAAAATAGGACAGATGGTAACACATATTTGATGTAGTAAAAGCGTCTTTTCTTTAAAACGTGCAACTTTTGGAAGTGGGAACAAGGCAAAATTTGTTACTAAATTTCTAAGAAAAAAATTTTAAAATCATTTTCAGGTAGTTACCTTATGTGCGCTACGAAACTGAAAGATAAATGGCCTCGGCTCGCGGCCTAAAAGTACTATTGCAGTTATCAAAGAGTATAAAGTTAACGATAAAATTCTTGGCCAGGCACGAGTAGACAAAATGGAACATTTAAAAAAAATCCATTTTTTTACCACTTACAAGAAGGACTCAGAACTGGTGACAAAGTTGAGCTTTAAACTTTGTGAATGTATGGCAGAAAAGGGAAAGCCTTTCAGTGAGGAGAATTTATTAAAAACTGTTTGACTATATTTTCAGAACATGCATGCCCAGAGAAAAAACATTTGGTGGAGCAAACCGGCTTTTCCCGCTTTACTGTTTCACGCCGAACAAATGATCTTTCCGATAATATCAAAGAAACTTTGAAAGAAAGATTGAAATCGTGTGAAGCTTTCAGTCTGGCATTGAATGAGAGCACTGATATCAGTGACACAAGTTTGCGGTATGATAACTAGCGGTATGATAACTAGCAAAAATGAACAATTTTTGTACCGGTAATTACGAGAAAGTCTTTATTAAATAAAGGTGCGGCCCGCAGCTTCACCCAGTTACTTGAATTTGGCCCGCCAGTGAAAAAGGTTGCACACCCCTGGTCTAGATAGACCCTAAACTTTAGGGTCTGAAGGGTCCGCGAACCCCAGTTTGAGAATCACTGGCTTATACAGTTTGTGTTTTTTTTTTATCTTTCTTTATACATGTTTGTGTGTGTTAGATGGGTAAATTGACACATGTAATTCTACATGTTTGAAAGGATTTCGCCAGTTTTCCCGATTTTTTCTACGTTCATTTTTTGTGTATGTTTTTTTTCGGGAAAATTAAAATAAACTAATGCTACTACTTATTTATTTTACATAAAGGTAAGCATGAACGGCCGACGTTACAATGAAATTGTGTCGTCTTTGGCCTTTTGTGTGTATCATTAATATGTTTTCCCCTTGGAAAGCGTGAAGGAATGAAACCACATTCCTGGTACACAAATAAAAATGATTTATTGTAGCATTCCCCTGCCCAATTTTATTCTTCAATTTTGTGAATACAGTTGTAAATTCTAGAACGTTTTACGTTCTAATATTTAGTCATCTGAAATTGTGCGTCTTAAACATAATAAAGAGAGAGAGAGATTATATTTCACAAATAATGTCAACACTATGTTCCTTTCCCCGAGCATCGACTTCCTTGTTTCCCTCATGGCATTGGCCAATCAGCAAGATGCAAAAAGTGACGTAACAATACTCTCTTTTCGCATCCGCTCAAACACTTTTCTCACTCAGACAGACTTTCAGGCGGTGTCATAAACATTACTTCGTTTTCGCGTTTTTGAACTCTATTCGTTAGTTTTCAGTTGTGTTTTGGAAATTTAAATATAAATCAGATAATTCAATGATCACTCTGTCTTCTTAGAAGTTTTAATTTAATTGCAGTAATAAAAAATTAGTTTAGAAATAGCGGTGATAGACTGGGCTAAAATTCGTTACCGGTATTTTTAAAAAACAGATTGTTGTATGTGATCAATCATAATGCTGGTTTGAAACACATACCCCATTTTACAGGCGCCAACTCGCTAAACCACTCTTAAAATGAGCCCCGAAAATTTGCAATGGTAAAGTATCGGAGGAATTTTTTGTGGGTCAAGGGTCGGGGAAAGGTCCATAAAACATTTGAAGCAACAGAAACAAAAAATTATAATTCATTAATAATTGCTCATCATTATATGTGAGTTTCAGTATACAAGACCGGTTAGGTAACCGAGGTTCCTGACCTGTATATAAGAAATCAGTCAGATAAAGCATTGGCGATGAAATATGAATAAAATTAGAGATAAAATGTATATGTGCGAGTCGACAATTTAATTTTCTAAATTTAATAATTCAAGTGTGCGCAAAATTTACCAGCACTTGATTTGTTTTTATGTGTTTTGAACCAATTTATCACATTTTCACCGATGTCAAATCAATGTAGTTGTCATGTCATGGTTTTTAACTCTTCTCGTCACCTTATCACATTACACCTACCTACACACGTTGTCTTTGTACCAGATTGAATTGGTTCTTATTATAATAAGAATGTGATTCAATAACATGAGGTTTTGAGTGCGGACCGGTACAGAGAATCAGAACAAACGTAAAGATTAGTTTTTACAATTTTTTATTATAGTTTCTGTAATTATATATTCACTGGACATGTACGGGTCTCAAATACATGGAGAAATAAAAATAATAATAAGGTAATCAGATTATCACAGATTCAGCAATAATTAAAAATATAGAAATATCATATCATAATATCAAGAAGGAGGAGTTGAATTTGATGGCCGTGTTGTAGTATCACTCCCTCCTGTCTATAGCAAACCAATTTAAAACTTGTAATTATTGTAATGACTGTTGTTTTGTTTTGTTTGACGAAAAAATAAATCTCTTCATCTCTTTTGGCCGGTTAGTACTGATATATGTCGGTATTACTCCGTGCACTACCGTATCGTAAGGGCCGGGCCGCAAGGGACGTCAGTCTCGGCCACGGAAGCGAAAATCGATGGATTTCGTTTCAGTCTCAGAATAGAGGTACCGGTACCGTACTGTACCGGGACGGTAAGTTGTAAGTTAGGTCTATCCTATCAAGTGCAGTACCGGTAACCGCGCGAGAGTCGAAAGGTCGGGTTTCGCCTTATGATCAGGGTGTTACTGTATTATTGGCTTTTCTCTCCTCTCCTCAGGCGGCTAAACGTGTAGGCCTACCTAAATCCTATTCTAAAATACCGGTATTACGTAAAATGTTCGAATAGGCCATTTAGAAAAAGAAAAATCAATCATTAATACTTGCTGAGTACTTGGTCACCTTTCTATTATTTATAAATATATTAGTTGTGTTAGATACGGTACCGGTACTTTTGGTGAACGAGCACGTGCATTGTCTGTTATAAACTTTATTCATAAGTTTTGCTCCTTTTCCGGGCATTTCTGTTATGTGTTTTGTTCGTTTCGTGTTTTCAGAATGCCCAAATAAATTGTATTGTGGGCTACCTGACAGACAGACAGAGTAAATTCAAAAAAGTTGGTAACTTTGTAAACTCAATTCTGTACTTGTAACCCAGTACGGTAACTTGACTCTGAAAACATCTAGTCTATTATCAAAAAATAGCTCACTGAGGTGAAACCTATTTTTTCTTGTGATATGCTCGGCTCTATCTTATCCTATGGATTTGATGTTCCATTTTCTAGTAGATAGAGTAAAATCTTGCATGCAGCATTCTGCCTATGCAGCGTAATGGAAGCAATTACATCACTGATCAAATACTATTGTCTGACAATTATTAATGTGAAATATACACTGATTTACGCCACTTTACAAGGAGAGAAATGCTCTTCTGAACAGTCTGAAGCAAGGCAGCTCAATATGGTAAAATTAGAATAATTTCATGTTTCAGATTTCAAATCGCACAAACTGCAGTGATTATTGTCATATAAAACCACAACCAGCAGGTTCTCACTTGTTTAGATTGATTATTCTGAAGAAAAACTCTTCTGTTAATTTTGAAAGCTCATAATATAAATGTTACTACAGTCCATTAATTTACAAGCATGTCTACATTATTAATATCCTAAATCTCGAACAAGTTTTACACATATCAGAGTGATGCATCCTATCGAATTCAGTGCTATGTTTGCTTCTTGTTGAAATGAATTCTGAACCATGTTATTGTATTACGGTGGTGAAATTATTTTAATCAAGTCGTTATGGTTCTAATATGGCAACCATGCCAAAAGCATATCTAATCTTCAAAATATAATTTTTAATGCAAATTCTTTTTAGGTATTGCTAAAATTAATAAACATTCTTCTTCATTCAATTTGTAACTGAATCTAAACAAGCATGGATGAAGTCTATGATGTTATTGTACTTGGTACCGGTCTCACTGAATGTGTTTTAGCTGGAATTTGTTCCTGCAATGAAAAATTGAAAGTTTTACAAATGGATCGTAATGATTACTATGGCGCAGAAGCTACTTCTATGAATTTGGAGCAACTTTATGAGAAATTCATGGAGACGAAACAAACACCAGAGCAGTTTGGTCGTTCCCGAGATTGGAATGTTGATCTCATTCCTAAGTTTCTTATGGCTGATGGAAAGCTTGTTAAATTGCTTGTTTCTACTGGTGTAACAACTTATCTTAATTTCAAGTGTGCTGCTGGAAGTTATGTATACCGCGAAGGAAAGATTTACAAAATTCCTGCCAATCCCAAAGAGGCCTTAGAATCAAAGCTAATGGGACTATTTGAAAAACGGCGCTTTAGAAAGTTTCTGATGTTTGCTGGTGATTTTGATCCCACTGACCCAAAAACCCATCAGGGCATCAACTTGAATGCGACCATAAGTGAGGTTTTCAAAAGCTATGGATTAGACGATAACACCCAGACTTTTATCGGTCATGCAATGGCATTGTATCGGAATGACAACTATCTGAAGGAGAACTGCCTCGAGACTCTGGCGAAAATAAAGCTCTACATCAGATCAATGGAGCGTTATGGAAACAGTCCCTATTTGTATCCTCTTTATGGTCTTGGTGAACTGCCGCAAGGATTTGCTCGTCGTTGTGCTGTTTTTGGGGGCACTTTCATGCTCAATAAGCCAATAACTGGAATTAAGCCTAATTCGGATGGTTTAATTGAGGTAACTTCCAATGATGAAACGGTTAAAGGTAAACAAGTGATAGGTGATCCTTCATACTTTCCAGACAGAGTGAAGAAAGTTGGACAAGTAGTTCGTGCAATCTGCATATTGAGTCATCCAATACCCGACACTAATAACGCTGTATCATGTCAAATTATTCTTCCTCAATCTCAAGTTAAACGAAACCATGACATATATGTGTTTTGTGTGTCCGGAGATCATGAAGTCTGCCCAAAAGGAAAATTTTTAGCTTTAGTGAGCACTGTTGTTGAAACAGCTAAACCTGAAGATGAATTAAGAGAGGGTTTGAAGTTGCTTGGTAGCATTGACCAAAAGTTCATTAGAGTTTCTGATATTTTTGCACCAATCAATGACAACCCAGATGATAATATTTTTGTGACTCGTTCCTACGATGCTACTACTCACTTCGAGACCACATGTGATGATATTGTAGATCTGTATGAGAAAGTCTTCAAAAGAAAATTTGATTTTGATAAAATGAAATGCGAGTTGAATCAAGAAGAATGATTGACCAGAATTTTACGACAACGGCAGCTGCTTACATTGTTCTTCAGAAATATTCATTCTGTAGCATATGGTTGAAATTGTAAAATAAGATGTCTTTGATGTTTTACGCTGTGTTGTCATATTTCTATGTTTGTTGAAATTTCACATGAAGCTTGTGAACTCAATCCTTTTATTAATGTGACTTCTGTTTAATTCTAATTTAATTCTGTTTAAATCAATTGGATCATGAATTTGACAGCTTGAGTGATTTAAGATTATTTAATAAGTTGTATATCTATTATAACAGTTCCTGTCAATTCAGTAAATTAAATAATGTTTTTACTAGATCTGATGTCATCTCATAGTATAACATTTCTAATGTTTATGCTTATTAATAGTATCTGACCTTTCATGATGCTTGGACGTCCCAAAAATTTTTCAAGTTGATTGTAGCAACCTAATGTGAATTTGTACAATATTTACGGTAGTATTTGGCTACTGATATTTCAAAGTTGTCTATACATTTTATTGTACTCCCTATGACAGTCACTACCATCATATCATGCTTTTTGGTGTGAGTTTAACAATTATAGTCTTATAGATGACATTCTAGTTACAGAAAAATAAGTGTAGGCTATTTATGTCATGTTGTTGTATAGCACATTTTTCATGTGACATGCATTTTTACGGCTTGAAGTAATCGTTGAGAATATTACACATTGGCTTGATAATATATTACAGTGAAATTATAGATGGCATTAAATTTTCCAGTCTAGATTTTATTTTGACTGCAGAAAGATATTGGAATATTATACATTTAGCATTAGACTGTCCAACTCGTCAATTCTGTGTTCGGCATTGTACACACACACACCAGTTTCAATTATATATATATATATATACCAGTATATTTTCAAGATTGATTATTGTACATTAGCAATGTGAACACCAAGATTGTGAAATTGATTTTGTAGTCAATTTCATTTCAAAGCAAAAATAGCCAGTTGTAAATGTGATTCACCTCATTTTCCAATCGCAGCCTGGTTTCATTGTCCATTCTTTCAGTGATAAGCAAATTTTTAATTTGATTTCATGTTGATCTTGCTATTAAAATTGAATTTAATGAAATTTAGTGTTTGATTATATTGGAAGTGAGAATACTTGTGCTTGCTTGTGAGTAAAATAGTATATTAGTAAGTGATTGCATGACTAAAAAAAAGTATCTCAAGTGGGTTACGCATGCATACTCATAGTTAACTTCTTGCAATCAGCATAGTAATGATAAAATATGTATCTGGTGATCCAGAATGCAAATTTACCTATTGGTGTTGGCGTAAAAATGTACTGCATGTATTGTTTCTGTTTAACATTTCATGTCATGTATCATATGCTAATTAGTGCAAATAACTTGAATAAATTATACGATGTTGATACTCGACTAGTTACTTTTTCTCAGGGTTATTAGGCAGAGCATAATATGAATTATTCTATATTTTTATTATGTTTAGAGAAGGGCAGAACCGCAGCCTCGGACGGGACTGTGAGCTGACTTATAGAATTCATCTGTTCAAGCCAAGTGTTGTCTGCACTTTATCATTCGCTGGTAGTGTTTTTAGACCATGGAGAGCTATGAAAGGGAGTCGGTTTTTGAATATCTTTTTATTTTCTTTCTACTCTGCAGCCTTGGTACAAATGTTTAGACATATATATTCTTGCGAATTCTGTGATCTTCCTAAAGCTAAGATCGTAACTTAAATCCGTGCGTTTCATGTATGAGATATGTCAGCCAATTGTTATTGAACTGTTCAATTAACTTGGATCATCGAGAACATTGATCTTCAACCTTTTTTATCGTAGTAGTTTATATTTACGGTGGTATACCTTTTACAATTTTTCAAGAACTTTGTATACTTTACAAATACCAATGTTTATTTAAGGCTTAAATAAACAGTGAATTTTAAGCACATATTGTCCTGCAAAATATCATGCATTCTAATAGGCTAGCGTCCGCAAGTTATAAATTTGACTGACGGCCTTAGCGTCAACGGGAACAATGTTCCACGTAAATTAAACAAGTGCATGGCAGCCGAAATCAACAACTCAGACACGTGACCGCATTATCTATATAATTTGTGATGTAATAATGTGCCTACGTCGGTTCTTTGCGTAAATGACATTTTATATTTCACGTGCGCCGGGTTTGCATTGTTGTCTCCAATTATTTATTTTATGATTTATTATATGAGAGTTTAGAATTCCGGATTTAGGCTGTACACCCTTCGTATACCCTTATCAGTTGTATACCCAACTAATGGTCCGGTATGCTATACACCTGGGTATACCGTATACCCGGTTGAAGAGCACTGATCGAGAAAGTCTTTACTGGAGGCGTTCTTGCTGATAACCGATAAGCATAACAGCTGCCCACTAGTACATAAGCGACAAGCCATCGCAGGCGTGTCGATAACTAAAGCGATTTTGGGGTATTTTCAGTATCGGAAAGAAAAGTGTTTGGAATGAAATATTTTGTTCTTCGTAATAAAACTAAATCGTGACAAGAATTTGATAGATTACAACAAATTTATCAATTTGGTGACAAAACTAAACTTTGAAGCATGTATGTTACAATATGTAGATATATTTTAGCGCTAATTATAGTTATGCAATCTGTGAGTTAATATTTAATCTGCGATAAATATAGCAGACAATCATGGTGGTGTATATATTATTTGAAGTCTTGGTCATTAGTGATATCGTCTATTAAACAGGGTGTAGAATACGCTACAGTTTTAGGTTTGGTGATTTTACTTCTAAATATCCCTATTTCACTGTGTGTTTCTGCAGAAGATATCCGTGTCAAAACGGGAATCGAAAAAGGGTTATATAACGTACGTCATACTGTATACATCTTCCGGAATTTGCGTCCAACCTGTACAGTTATATTTATTTTGGAAGCTTTGTTAACCCGGTAGAAACTAATTATTCGCTAATTAGTGCGTACATTGTTAGTTGTATACCCCGAATGCGAACTTAAATACACAAGGAATCTTTCCTCGACCATTCATCTCCAAAAAATTTATCATTGCAGTAGTTTCAATTGCGTGTTTTTCCAACTAGTTGACTCAGTAGATTATTGTTTTAGAAAAGCAGATCGCCTTTTATTGGAAAACACGAATTTGGTCGTTTCCGCAATATCGCCTCACAGTGCGTCAACTCGAATAATTTCGGAGGCTTCCTAAACTTGAATGGGAATTTCAAGTCGGTTTTCCAAATATTAATTACTAGGAATAAAATCAATGCATCCTCAAATAATAAATATTTGAACAGAGACAATGCATTTTATGTAACGTCTATGGTTTGAATGCACTCAAAAACTTGGATTGCACAAGTGTCCACTTTCCTATGCTAGAGTTGAAAAATGAACGGAAATTACTGGCTGATCTTTTTCAATGTACATGACATATGTATAACGTGGAATAAATTTTTATCTGCCTATTTTGCGTTTCGACATCCATCCGATAAAGTATGAGTTAACAGACCGCTCACATAAATGACTATTGAAAAAAGCGAGAGGATTACTGGACTCCTCGCCGCCTCAATGTGGTTCACGTGCGCGCGTTGGTAAACTCAACTCCTGTGGACATATATTGGAATATATTAAATGAATGACATGATGGTAATGGTATGAATTTGTATTTGTTTTGATTTTTGCTATATTATTCATATATATGGGGGTGGAATTGAAATTGAAAACCCAAAACATAGAAACTAAAAAATCTTGATTTCAAAATTAAATAATTATATTCTAAAATCTCAATACAAAAATTCCGTTTGGCATTGGAATTTATTTGGCACAAAAAAGGTCTCGGCTTCCTCCACCTTCAAGTCCATGCTTCCGAAAACAAATAACTGGCTAACTAATCATATACATTATATATACACGACATGGACTGGTAACGAACGAGAGGCCGCGGTTCGCCATATGATTGAGCCGCCCTTTCGGCTTCCATCTCCCCCAGGATAAATATGTATATTCTATCCTATTTATGACGCCATGTCGCATTCATCATGTTTACCCTACAAATAGCATAATTTGGCCCTATAATTGTCTAAATTCGGCCCTACATGTAAACGATATCCGTTGTGAAAATATACCAACATACATATTCAATTTACCACAGACAGAGTGATTTTTGTAGTACCTTTGCCACACCTCCTCCGTTGCGACCTTGTATCGCTCATGTAACTATAATCCGTCACATAAAAGTACGCAATAATTCTGTATGCCAAACTATCGAATATCATAAATTTGAATTTTGACGTTTAATCCATTTTTGACGAACCTCTGTTGCTGATTCAATATTGCCGGGATTTATACCTTGCAAATCCTTTCTATTATTTTTAGAGTTCATAAATATGTTTTTACCTCTTGATGAACTAAAATATGCATATTCCTTTTTTTTTTACATTTATCAACAAAATACATTTCTCTGCTCCGTCCATAACAAAACTGAGGACAAATTCATGTCTCATATAAACCACAATGAAAGTGCATTCTACATTTAGGCCGCGAGCCGAGGACATTTATCTTTCAGTTTCGTAGCGCACATCAGGTAACTACCTGAAAATGATTTTAAAATGTTCCTTAGAAATTTAGTAACAAATATTGCCTTGTTCCCACTTCCAAAAGTTGCACGTTTTACAGAAAGACGCTTTTACTACAATAAATATGTGTTACCATCTGTCCTATTTTCTCTGCTTTTCCGGTATCATGGGCCAATGAACGCAGACTTCTGCACGACGTAACAGTCAAGTTAGTCAGCTGTAGGTGGATCCCCAGTGGTCGGATGAATATCAGATGTACTACAACTGCTCGCTTTTGCGTTGAGTAGCCTTTCCATAGTTTTTTCAGTTACCGGTAATATTAGTTCAAGTTATTCTAAGGAGGTGTTGAAAGTATGGGGTAAGATATTAAACACTTGTATATCCTTACCCATAAATAGCAATTTAGTTGAGCACTAGCTCATAAGACGTTGTTAAATAGTACGGTACGGAGCGGGTAACTCAAGGAAGGCTAGACCTAGAATAATATGTCATAAACAACGATATTTTTCTGGCTTGCATGAAATGTTTATGATAATTTAATGACTCTTCTTGACTATTCAGCAGACTTATACTACTATATAGGCCACAGCATATTTTGGAAATATAAATGAATGTCTGTTTCTGTAATGCCACGAATTGTGTGAAGAGAAGAAATTATTCAATTTCACTAATGTCGGTTGGTCTAAATCTAGAATTCATAGAGTCGACAAGAACCTGGAAGCAATGATAAGTTTATGCCGGAGTGGAAAACAAGTAGCATTGGAAACGATTGAGAGGTGAGAAATCAAGTTGTAGACAAACAGTTGATGTTTTAAAATATAGTCATATAGTCCATTACTCATACTGTCATAGGAACATTTCAGACTGTGATATATCAAAATTTAGTGTTAGATATAGTCTAGTAATGGTATGCAAACACTGCTGGATGTAGTACATGCAATGAGCATATATACGCTCATTTAGTACATCAGATAAAATGCATTATGTATTCAAGGTATTAGTTAGTATTTAGGGGTATTTTTAAACTCATGCTGCTCCAAATATTATTTTCTTCCTATTTTAGATACTGTACTACAAAAAAAAACGGCAATGTTCCACCAATCCGACCTAACGCAGGCTCTGATCCCTGCTGCTATCAGTGCTATAAAATGGATTAAACAAGAAGTCTTGAAGCTTAAAGGTATATGAGAATCATAATAGTTGCAAACAGCTTAGATGGGCTATTCATATTGAAATACTTTAGCACTTTTCTGCAATTGGAACTGCCCATCAAATTCATGTTGGAGACTTCATTGAGATTTTCAATTCATTTTTTTCCCTCGACTATGAAGATCTTTTGAGGTTAACGAGGCATTAATAAATAAAGCTGAGGAATTTGAAGAGGATATGAAGAATGTAAATGATACCAGGGCACGTCTATTTAACACTGTCAAACATAAGGATTATACTCTCCACCCAACAATGATTCACTGAAGAAGCATGTGGCCCTCAAAATCAGTTCTTGAGTTGGCAAACTGCAAGTTGTAAGAAAAATAGTCAAAATAATTTATGAAAGTGTGCCCAAATCAACTTAAATTGCACAGATTTTTGTTTTGGTATTGACTGCAAAAATCACAGTTACACTTATAGAGGAAAAGTCGATTTTTGAGATAGTGGATTTCGAAAACAATTCAGAAGAAAGTGAATTAGATATTACAGTTGATTTAATAAGTATCATTTTATTTGTTGTTTTTTCGGACATTTGTTAGTGTCGTAGTCCTGTTTCTAGAAATATTATTGCCTTTGTTCAAATACATTAACCACATAAACTAAAAAAGAAGTAATTGTAAATTGTAATATTTCTGTTCACTATTTTATGTACATATTGTACATTCATTTAATTTCTGACTTTTGCTGTAAATTTCTAAGTGAAAATAACTGATTTATTTGTGTTTTCGTGCTCACGGATGTTAATTTGTGACTTCATTGCTTAAAAATAAATACGTTTGATAGCTCTATAAAATGGATGTAGCTTTTTATGCTGTTCTTGTTGTAAACTGCTTGTGGTTATTACATAAAATTTATTCGCAAAAGTGAATCAGCGTTGTTGGTGTCGCTGTTTCGACTCATCCCAACTCCTGTCACACAATTAAAGTATTTTTTGTTGTTGGTTACATGTATGCCATATTTTTCGTAATCTACCTAATAAATTATGATTGACTGAGGAAGTCCGATTTTGGTCAGGCAAAACATTACAGGAATACATTTGTGTTAGTGTGCTCAATGACATTAAACAACATGATGCGCAACTCCGGCATTTTTGTCCGAAGATCGTATTCGATAGCACGCTCCAATGCACATACTTGACGAGACGAAAACGAGCGGATGTGTGCTGCTTTCAAGGCGTAGCACGAATGGTGTTCGTGCCTGCTTTGACAGTTGTTGTCGATTTTAATGATATTTTTGAAAGTTGGGGTAAAAAGAAATCGGTAAAAGGTAAGGTGAATACTATAGTTGTATATCACACCCGGGCATCGCACTGTTAAGTACATGTGGGAAAGCCAGCCTTTGTCAAATACTACGAAGTTATTAATTCAGTACGGTACGTAGTTGCCCATTTGCCGAAATTACATATTTACTTACCCCTTATGGTTTCAAATAGTTCATGCACCTCCAGTTAGATTTTTTTAATCAGTGAGGATATATACTCATTGTTGATTGCTGCTCATTGTAACATACTATTACGCATTCACTTTTATTTGCGTATTGAATCAAAGTGTTAACAAGTTCACCTAACATTTCACTCATACCGGTCTATATTGTATAGTCTGATTTCTCAAGTATTTGGAGCCACGAATGCTTGTAATTTTCTGACTAAACCCTTTTATTAGTTGGTTTATATACCAAATTCAGTAAAATATTTTTTAAATAAAACATGAGATATTGGATTTATTAGCTTTTCCATTCTGAATCATATAGACTGCTTTATTTATTCTTAACGAAAATTAATAAATCTCCTCTCTTTCTTCAGATGTGAAAGTTGTGGACAAACCTGTCTAAGCATTGTGAGACTCTTGCAGCACAAGAGGCAATAGCAGAAATAGTAAGTATATCAATCAAGAAATTAAGCCGACATAAAGCAAAACTTTCAACTATTCGTCTAATCTCAATTTCCTATTATTTATTCACAGGACAACTATAGCAGACGGGGAGATATCAGAAGTCTGGCGACATATCAGTGACAGTGTGATTCCAAGAAATATAATGCAATTGAAAATAGAAATTGCAATAGAAAAACAACCTATGGAGGCATGCAAAGACATTTGACCCTCCGGTAGAGTTGTGTATGGCCCCACATCCTGCAGGGCTTGAGGAAAATAACTAAAAATTCCAAAGCGTAAGATTGCATAAGCGGTCTTATTTGTAAAAAGGCACAAAACACGCCAGACATACTTAAAACAGCTTTGGAAATGAGGATTACGGGTACCTCACTGCACCTGTGTTATATTTGGTTCATCAACTTTTGGTAGTACTATAGAAGAAATTCCGGAAGGGGTATAATCATCATTCATGATAAAATACTATCATATATTTTTTGAACAACTTCAATCTAGACCAGGGATCTCAAACTCGCGGCCCCAGAGAACTTCCAGTGCGGCCCTCGAACGCTTAACAATAATTGTAATAGTATTTTGGAAGTTTTTTTTTTATCTAAATGTAATAGATTTTTCAAACCTTCTAAAGTGAAATTGATTATTCACACAGAAAACAATTTACTGAAAGTAGTTTTGGAATATTAATTTTTTTGTCCACATTTTGACCCAATTAAGAATACACATCAAGCTAGCAAAAGATTACTTGAATTAAACGCAAAGTACATGAAGAAGGTGGCATTTTCGAAGAAAATGGGAGTTGTAACATTTCTGCTCTTCACAAAATTCTGAAGCACATTGTTTAATTTGTCATATTTCCATCAATACAATCAAAAAACACAATAAGCTCAGCAGTCAATATGACAAATTCGAAGACCAACTTCGAACAGAAAATTTCCATGTGTTTGTATATTAATATAATTATACAACGACTTAGTTACTAAAAATCAATATCAATAATAATTCAAGCAATCCTATGCCACGCAATGTAGTGCGAAATGTCTTGTCGAAAAAATCTGTCATTTGTTTTTTTACTGATCTATACATGAAATGATAAAAGTAACTTTTTTGCATTACTGGAATTAATTAAACATTCGTAAAGATCCAGATAAACCCATGATCATGTGGCCTCGTTAGTTAGAGTTGGTACTATAAAATCATTTCAGACTGGCCTTAGTATGCTGGTGACACAAAAAAGATGCCAAACGCCAGGACAAATGTAATTATTAAAACATTGAGTTTATACTGTAGTATTTTTGTTAATTTTAGGTTCATATATTTAGATTAAGTTATTTTTAGTGTATGTATTATTCTTTCCTTATTCAAAGCTTGTTCAAAAATGATTTTGATGGTTGTACATAGAATTTTACGATTTTTTATAATAAATACTGTAACTTGCAAATGTTGCAATAATAGTGGAATGCAAATATTAATATGTAATTGCATTTGAAATTGAAGAAAATAATAAAACTTAATCCAACTGTTTAGTTGCATCACAATATATGTCACAAACTAAAACTATCTTAAAAATATCTTTTAAGTATACATTATCAAAAACTGTTTGCGGCTCTTTTTACAATTTTCAAAATGCAATGCGGCTCTCGAAAACCCATGAGTTTGACACCACTGATCTATTCTAGACGATTCAAGCATTGCTTTGGGAAATTATATCACTTCAATTAAATTGAAATAATCTCGCTATATTAAATACAAAATCGTTGCTATCATAAAGGTAAACCAATTCAGCCACTCGAAATATATGGCCTTCACAAAGCAATGGAGGCAAAATTGAGAGTTCATGAGCTATGAACATTTGTTCTTTTCTTTGTCTTGAACTTTCCATACTCCACAGCCCCTATTAATTTTATTTTAACTTGTATTTTCTGTCATGATGTATTATCTCAATGTGCCAAACTATTAATTATGTGCATATTTTGCTTCCAGATGACATAAATGTATTGTCATGTTTATTACCTCAGCTTGGAGTGTTGACAAGAAAAAGGTGCCAGTAAATTAGGTAAAAAAATTTTCAACTCATTGAGCTAAATTTAAACAAACCTATCTACGATGCATTATGTACCAGCAATGTTACCTACGATTAACTGAATATGTAATGTGTCTAATAAATTCACCTACAAAAGCAAGTTCGATAGGTGCAAACTTTGTGTTATGGAATTGTATCGCAGCACAGTTTTGTATGACACCCTCTATAAATGAAATTTCAATGATTAAGCGCAAACATTAAAATTACTAACTTTGAACTTTGTCATTATCTGCAAAATGTTCCACACAAATCTTTCCGCTATCTCGTTTGTAATCTTCTCTGATAAAAAAAAACGTCTATGATGTCCAGAATTGCTCTTTACAGCTTGCCTGTTATTCCAGCTTTTCAAGTAAGCAAAACTTCTTAGATATAGAGATTATTTTGTTTCGTTACAGGCGCAAAAAGGCAGGTACTACATGTAAAAAAGACGCCGAGTAGCAAATGCGAGCGGAAAACGGACGCGAAGGCGACGAGAATATGTGCATTGGAGCGTATCATGAAATACAATGTTTTGCCTGTAGTCTTATGGAGTGACGTCAGAGTTGCCTATCATGTTGTTTAATGTCATTGGTGTGCTGTAGGGCTCTCGAATTGCATAGTTCTTATGTATGTGTTGTGATCTTATGGTTATTGAATTTCCGGGAACCTCTTATATTCAATTTCGCACAGGATTGTGGAACAAGCTGTAATGCGTTCATTATGTTCGTTTTCACACAAAACTGAAGAATTTATTTAGTTACGGTACCAGATGTGCGCTACGAAACTCATTTTCTGGGCGTTTTCATGGCTTCGTCTCACGGCATATCCGTGGTAAGGATCTACAGGTGTTTTAATAACTTACTTATACATTTTTCAACAACGTCTTAGCATAACTTAACTAATAATAACTAAACAGGGCTATGGAAAGCTGCCCAACTCAGCGCAAGGTCGAGCAGTAATAACTAATATTCATCCGCTCGCTAACAGCTGGTTTAATTCAATTGTTACGTCATGCAGAAGTCATTGTTCCATGCCGAAAATGTAGAGAATATAGGACAGATCGTAGCACATATTTCTTGTAGTAAAAGCGTCTTTCCCGTAAAACGTGCAACTTTTGGAAGTGGGAACAAGGCAATATTTGTTACTAAATTTTTAAGGAACATTTTAAAATCATTTTCAGGTAGTTACCTGATGTGCGCTACGAAACTCACTTTCTAGGCGTTTTTCAGGGCCTCGGCTCGCGGCCTAATTTCACCACAAGGGAATCTAGAATCTATTGAGTCATTACCAAAGCTTCACCTCGACTTGGCAGAAGACCACAAATAGCTGATGGAGTTGAGTGCAAAGGTGCCTTGAAACAGATGATGGAAAATATGGTTGTTAGCCTTCTCATTCAAGCTGATATACTAGGTATTCAAAAGTACTGCTACCTGCATATTTTAATTTATTTAACATTCAATTCAGTAGTAGTGATCACTTGACAGTTTATTTGAATGATTGCGATTATATTGCTTGTATGTATGTATGTTTATTCGCCTCGTAAAAGTAATATATATAAAAGAGTTAGTAATTATCAACATTGAAGACGGGATGTACACACAAGACCATACTGACCTAAAACACATGAAAGTGCGGCATACACCCCTTATGATAAGCATAAAATGCAATAAATCAAATTGGTATATGTTCCTTTATTCAGACAGCTGTGCAAGGAGGGTGGATGGGTTTGGCAACAGGGGTAAGGGTGGAGTATGCAAAACTGTTTGTACGAAGGAGTTTGTAAGACAAAACAACATTAATAAATAGAGACAATACGACATGAAATATACTTCAGGTAAACATAATAATAAAATTTGGACATAGACTAAATATAGCACATTTGAGTGATTATACCACATACTATAAATGGGAGAAATGTCAAGTTTATGAGAGTATGTGCATATATGATATGTACCACTCAAGGGTGAGTGTCTTAAATATGTAGTATGCGTCTAATCTAGCAAAAATGCGTTCCTTCCAGGCTTAGTGAATTCGATGTAATAGGTTCTGTCAAGGTATGTATGTTTATTTGCCTCAAAAATATAACAGTATCTGCATAATATTTAAACAGTTAAACAGAGACGGGAATACATGTTCAAGACCTTACTTGGCCTAAGACACAGATGTGCGACATGCACCCCCACTAACAATTATAACAGCAGTTTAGGACTGCTGCGTTATATTCGCATTTTCTGCGTATTCGTATTTTAAAGGTACTTTGTATTTTATAGTTCTGAATATTCCAAAAAAAAATGAGGATTCAAAAAAATATTTAGGTTGCCTTCACATAAAACCTGTCATGATCGCATTTCAGCCAGACAATTTGAAGGTATAAAAGTACATTGAAATAGAGAACAATAAATTATATAGAGTATCATTTTGCCATGTCATGGATTTTACAAATTGAATTAAAATAATAATAGAATAATATGGTAACTTGGGATGAAGAAAGGGACGGGATTGTTTGATTTAGTGCTGAGCCACAATAATGGAAAAAGTTAAACAGCATACTTTAACAATAACAATTGTCCGCTGCATTTAAATTTTGTTTCCTTGTTTATTTAATTAAGTATGATAATAAAAATTAGAATGGTGTGCTAATTTTCTATCTTTATTGTGATGTTCTATATTTATTCCATTTAATTTCAGATTTTGTTGCGATGTTGGACACTTTTGCTTTGGCGCGCTAAATACCATATATTTTATCTTGTCTACAATAATAGAGAGTTTGCTCGCAGACAACCAAGTTTGAATATTTTTCAGGTCATTATTGGCTTTGGTCAAAAGTTCAGGCAAGGGTTTGCCTTGAAGATATGGTGTTGAGTCATCGGGAAACAGTATGATATCAGAGTGAAGAAGAGAATTTGGAAAGTCGTTAATAATGACTGAAAAACATAATGGAGCCAAAATAGAACCCTGTACTGTGCCTACCGTCAAATTACAGTATGTGCTAGATGCTGTATCAATATATAAAACTACTTGTTTTCTTCCTGATAAGTAGCTTTTGAACCAATTATAGCTCTGACCTCTTACACCAATATGGTGCAATTTGGATAGTAATATGTCATGGTTAATAGTTAATACTATCAAATGCCTTGGAAAGTTCCAAGAACATAGTAAGAGTATACTCATTTTTATCGAAACCTTCCAGGATTTTACTGACAAGTAGAGTGATTTTAGCAAAAACCAAATTGCTGGAAATAGGAGAAATGTTTTTGACCTTGGAAATTGTTGAGTCTTCTGTACATGATTTTTTCTAGTACTTTGAAGAAGTAAGCTGATTGGTCGGTAGTTTTGTACATTTTTTGAATTTTTTTTTTTAAACAATGGCATAACTTTAGATAATTTGAACTAGTTTATGTATTTACCAGATCGTAAGGAACAGTTAAAAATATGTGTAAGAGCACACATACAATTCCAGGGCATCGTTCGTATTACTTTAAAAGGACTTCCATCTATTCCACAACTGGTGTTAGGCCGAAAATATTTCATAATATTTGGACTTCGAAAGCTGATGTCGGGGCAAGAAACAAGTTTTTCTTGGCTGCACCACATAATGCTTAAAGTCATTCCTTGTGGTATGAGGAAACCGTTCAATCATTTTATTCCCAATTGTAGAAAAGTGTGAGTTAAAATGATCTGCTATTTTGACAGGATCAGAGGTTTCCTGTCTATTAATCGAAAATACTTTTGTTAGATTTGGTTTAGAACGCACTAGCAGATCGTTCATAGTACGCCAAGTTTTCTTAAGATCATTACGATGTCTACCTAGTAATGACTTGTAGTAATTTTCTCACAGTTATCAATTTCTCGTATTTTTTTTTTACATTTTGAAAATTTTTGTATTCAGTCTGCTCTTTTTCAGTAAGATATTTTTTGTGTAGCTAATCTTTTTTTTTCCGCATTTTTAAATTGATATTTTTATTATTTCTGTTTTTTAGAGGGAAACAAGTGTTGAAAGGTTCAGTAAAATACTTATTGAAAATTATGAAGACTATATCGGATCTGTTTTGCTGAACACAACCGAAAAGTCACTTTGTTCTAGCATGGGTTTAAAATTACTAGATTTGAGATATTATATTGCCTAAGCCCAGAGTCTCCGTTTGTCTAGCAAGTTTTTTTCCGTAGTGGAATGCAAACCGGCAGGTGGTCTGAAATAGGATCGACTATTATTGCACTGAGGGGTTTACAATCAAATATATTAGTCCAAATATGGTCAATGATTGTAGAGCTGCTTTGAGTGATTCGAGTTGGCTTTGATACCACCGGATAAAATGAAGCCGAATTCATTTACAGGCTTGTTATTTGATTCAAGAAAATTATAGTCGAGGTCTCCCATGAAAATACTATTTTTCGATAAGGATTAGAGTGTCGATTCCAGAATATTAATAATTTGATTATTGCTTTAATTATGTGATAGAGCGGATCATTGTTCCGCCGGTGACAATTCTATCTTTCAAATAAATGTCTACAAAAATTCGCTCATCCATAACTGAAATGTCAGGTCTAGCCTTGAAAGTAATGTTATTTTTGATGTATAGACCAACACCTACCTCCACCCTTCTAAGTCACTCGCGGAAAGTGTAACCACCCAGGTTCATGTGGGATCCTAGCTGCTTCCGAAATACATGACATGTAAATAACGAACAGAAAACTTTGTGAATGGGAGCTATTACCGGTATGTATTATTGATCTCTAAGCAGACAATATGCTCGTAAACTACCTCGGAAATGATCGATAAATCTTCATCTTCAACATTTTTCATATCCGAGTTCAATGTCAGCAATGCAAATGAAATTAAAAGCAATAAAAAATTTTCAATATCAGAAAAACGTGTGTATGTGATGCGTATACAATCGAGTGCATGATGAGTTTGGATCATTGAACAAATAAATATTTACTAGAATTCGACGATGCATAGATTTTGAAAAGTAACTATGAATTCTATGATGTAGATAATCGTGTGTAGTAAACATGATCGCATATACGTAATGTCCATAAGTTGTAAAAAAAACTGCAGTAAAAAATAGAAGGAAAAAAAATAATTTCATGAAATGAATTGGCAATGTAACGTAAGTAAAGGCGGGTCATAATTTTTTGAGCCAATATATATTGAGACTGTAATTTGGTACAGAGTATATAAAACTATAATTGTAGTATATCAAAATCCGAAGCATTAAACCAAAAGTGTTGTACTTAAACACGAAATACTGAAAAACATTAGAACTACAATTCGGAACTTCAATATACTTGGCAATGGTAGATTCAAGCGTTTATGCTGGCACTGAGTAGTGGAGAACTTTCACTATCTGGTTGTGATAACAAACTTGGTTTGGGTTGAGAATGAGATGGTTCAATTGGTACAACAAGTTTTTTATAAGACATAATAACCATGCCTGTAACCAGTAATACCATCAAAAGATCAACACCGGCCATAATTGGCAAACGACTTTCAGTTGCCATTACTGATGCCCATATTGGACCAAGAATTTGACCACAACCCATTGCAGCTAGTCTTATTCCTTGGTTAAAAGCCTGAGTTTCAATGCTTGTGACTTTAGAAAATAAAGACGCTTGGGGCACCCATAAGAAAGGAAGGCTGATAGTTAAAAGTATGGTATCAATTATAAACATTGGTAGTAGCCAAGCAGGATTTTCAACATTGTTTTGTAAATATAAAGAAAGTATGTAACCTAGAAGAACAGAGTATGTAATGATAGTACCGAAACAACCAGCGATTAAAAGTGAGCGATCCGAGAATCGTTTACTCAAGAAGCTTAAAGACACATAACTAACAATCACAACAAATCCAGCGCCACAGAACATATAGCTGTTGAATAAGCCACCCCAATCAAAAAGTAATAAAGTCATAGGAGTTACAGCAGCTTCTATACCAGTCTGTGAAAACATGATCATAAACGTAGCAGAAAGACAAACAATAACTTCTTCGCGAATAAACTCATTGAAAAATGTCTTAGCTTGTGCAGTTGAAATTGAAATGGATCTCAACCTTTGTCTGAGTCCATTTTCACCTTGAACACTATGATCAGTAGCCTGATCTTTAGGTGCTGCATTTGTTTGAACCAATGCATCAGGATTTGCTTCAATATCCTTGAAGAGAATAAACATCAGAACTGTATGTATAAACCAAATTCCAACCATGAAAAGTCCAGGCGAAGTGAATTGGTTGAGCATAAACGGACCAAGTGTAAAGTTCAAACTATTCAAAAACACATTAAATCCAGGTCCAATCAACAAACCAATTTGACGCATTGCCATTAGCAAAGAAAAAGCTCCAGTTCTCTCTTCTGGTGTTGTCGCCCTCGACAGCATACCTAGATTGATGATGATGCCCCAGATCCAATGCCGGCTACAAGTCTTGATATCCATAGTAAATGATAACTTCCTCCAACAAAATATAAAAAATTCCCACCAATTTCAAAAAAGTTGCTGATGATAACACACCATTTTGTTGATCCGGTTTTGTCTGTGATGCGACCGAATATGGGAGCGGCAATAATACCAGTGAAGCTGAAAGAAGCCATTATGATTCCAATAAATCCATCAGGTGCATGCAAGGATATGAGATAGCCATTTAAAGTGGGCAATATAACGGCATATTCCACTCCACTGAAGAAAAAGTACAGAGCAGTACACAAATTTCTACCAAAGTTTTGTTTTGTACAAATCATTCTTATAACCTTTATATTTGGATTCTCATCTGTAAAAACAAACACAGTATTGAACATGAAAATAAAATAGATAAAGAATAGCGATATAACAGGTGAGTGGTGGGCATGCTTAAAACTCATTTACTTGGCCAATAATAATGTGAAAAATAGATATGCACATTGCACACTGCTCAGACGAGGTTATAATGTCAGCAGTAGCGCATACGACCATATGCTGCCATGATAGAAAATATACTTTCCCTGTTATTACCATGAGATTCTCTGCTATATATCATCGAAAATATTCAACTAAACTACCAGTCTTTGTTTTTCAATGCTCAATACATAAGGTTCCAGTATACTGAAAAAAAAACTTTTAAATCGGCTATTCAGCGTTTAAATTTACAAGGCAGACAAAAAATATTGAACAATGTTTAACCATCTAAAACCTCAACTGATATTTTCAATGCAACAAAGGTTGCTACTGTACCGCATTTATTGTTAATGTATGATGGATATGAGTATGAAGCTGACAATTTCCCTTTTTTTATCAAATAATGAAAAGTGTGATGGGTCATGGTCATGACACCACCTTGTCTTAATGATTCATTCTATGGTAATACCAAATAGGACTTTTTCCAAGGGAGCAGGAATATTGCAATAAATGTATAAAATCCTTATTTTTGCATTGCAATTATACTTTGCTACACCATGTGCACTTGAAATATTTTAGGGACAAGCAGAATATTTTATAATAAATTCCTAAAATCACTTTGCCTGTTGAAGTAAATCGAATCACTCTGATAAATTCCAAACTTAAATGTAAAGTATACAGAAATAGGCTGAAAACTGGCCCAGATAACAATCCAACTTGAGGTAGCGCCATAAAGCTTGGGTAATTTTTTTTTTACGTTGGTCTTGACAAAATCTCAGAATAGAATTGTGTCTGATCCTATACCAGCCACATATAAACTGTATAGTCTCCAACAAAATACAGGTAAATACCAATAAATCGGAGATATTGCAATCTAAAGGATACCATATTGCTGAGCAAGTTTTATCAGTGATATAGCTGAATATCGAGAAAGCGATAATGCCAGTAGAACTGAATGAAGCCATTACAACACCAATAAATCCAGGTGAAGAATTAATTGATATGGGATATCCATTGAGAGTTGGAATGATAACTGTAGATTCCACCATGCAGAAATAACCCAGTGCATACACCAATATCATGAGGTGAAATAGTTTTCCACCAAGACTATTTATTACTGAAAGATTTAAAACATTTGTTATATTACTAGTATTGGAAAAAAGTGTGCAATATAGCATTTATTTAACCCAGATAAAATACAATATTTTGAACAATACCAAATCAAGTATAAATGCATATCTCAGCATATTTTACTTGCTGCATCAGGAAGTCCCATCCTATGCTCTGCATACAGCAAAGTAGGCAATTGATCTAAACAAGCATATCATGGAAAATTTCTGTGACAAAAGGAATGTAGGGAAGGAATTGAAATGAAAGAGAGTTTCATGGTGCTCAATGATTTGAGAATTTGATGAAAATTGAAATTCACATGATTGCATAATAATGATGAATGTGGAATACAAACAACTACAAAAATGTGTGATTTGGCAACACGTCGTTTGAGGCATAAATCATTTGAATTTCTAAGGTAATTGTAAATATGAACGAACGTCACACAATCATAGAAAATGCAACCATTCGTTTTTCACGAATATTAGAGAATTAAATAGTTTCAAATAAATTCCTAATATGATGATCAAAACAAGCTAAAAATTTCTGAAATTCTACATAAAAGGTCAATCAATGGGAAATAAAGATTAGTTCTATAGTAGCCTTCAAACTAAAATTCCAACCAGTGAAATATCAGTCTAATAAATGTTCAACTTGTCATTATTTTATGCAATGTTCATATAGTGACCAGTGCAATATGTCCACAAATTTATGGTGCTTAAATAGAATAAAATGAATAGTTAAAATGATATTGAACAAAATTAATAAAGAAATGTGTGAACTTTGGTAAAGAGATTGGTTGTCATTCATCAACCAAATGGGATTTATTGAACTATATCACTATCAGACACATGCAATAACAGCTATTTCATAAATGATAAACATACTTGGGAAACAAAATAGGCATCTTGTTTTAATAAGCAATGTGCGATAAAATTATAAAAATGTAAAGTAGTTGTGTATCTATTAATAGAGAAATAGTTCATTACAAATTTGCATTTACAAGCTGAAAATATCATTTTATTAAAATTAATATGAATGCAATGGTAGGACTTTGATCAAAATCTTGTTGGCCCAAATGTTACAAAATTATATCAATATTACAATAATATAATGAATATAGTATGTGCAAGTGTGACTAGTGGTTCCAAACCTTTCATGACTACTAAGCGCATGTGATAATTATAGGTAAGAGAAGTGCAGTTATTAAATGCTTGTTGTTAAAAATAAAGAAGTTGAGGCTATCAAGTAATGCACTGTATATACTCCTCATCATTTTTTCAACTCAACAAAAAGCAATTTCAGATTTCTTAGACTTGTAACAAATACATAAATTGCTTAACAAACAATTTTTAATAATAGGTAGTTACATAAAATAATATTTTTGATTGTTATTATTTCGAATAGTATTTATTAAATTTGGAGATTTATAAACAACAAAGAATACCGGTACTCGACTTATTGCTCATATTGCCTACTACTGATTGCCCTAATTTTCAAAATTTAGAAAATATATGAAATTTTTATAATTAGCATATAAATACAGTACCAAGGTTATATTAGCAACTCCCTCCTGGTTGGGATTAGAACTAAACATCCCAAATGAAGACTGTCATGATATAGATAGAAATGACTGAATAAGAGCAAATTTCTGTGTACCTTAACAGGACAAACAAACAAAATGATTTACTAATCCATAGGGTTTCGTTGGAATCAGATCCTGAAACACTAAACAGAACTAACTAATTAGAATACTTCCTTTAACAATCTACGAATGATATTACAAAAATTAAAATATACCCACAATATCAAAGAAAAACAAACTAATAGAAGTTGCGGTATGAACTGCAGGATAAAAATACTAAAACAGTTAAGAAACTTGAAGCTATATAAAAATTAAGTGAAAACTAGAACTTATTAAAGGACCAAAAACAAATTTATTGCAGTGGAAGTTTAATGCGATTGAAGAAAGAGTGTTCCTAGCAACAAAAAACAAACAGTGGAATTTATCAATGCTTTTTAACAGATATTTCAGACTCAAATTTCATGTAATTGATGGACTGCTATCAAATAAATGTTAATAACAAAATAAAAGTATTATTCCGTTACAACGAGGTCAACAGTAAATCAACTGAATCAATCAATCAGAATCAGTTTCACGCACCAACGAAACTGATTCCGAATCTGAGCCAGTGATCAGAGGAGGAGGTATAAGACGTTTATATGATAGCAACACCATGGCAGTAAGAATACACAGTATTCCAAGATCTACTGCAGCCATGATTGGCAATCTACTTGTGGTAACGAGTGATGATGCCCACAAAGGACCTATGATCTGACCAAAACGTACAGATACAATTCTCACTCCCTGATTAAAGGATTGCATATCTGGGTTGGTAATCTTAGAAAAAAGGATACTTGTGAAACAAATAAAAATGAAATGCTTACAATCAGAAGTGCACAATCAAATAAAAACACCGGAAACAGCCAAGTTGGTGTTTCTATCTCATCCAATTCATACATGATGAAGACATAAGCAAAAAAGATAGCATAAGTGACAACTAGACCAAACAACCTGAAAGTAGCAATGCACGGTCCATGAAACACTTGCTTAAGAAATGAACACATGCAAAACTAACAATAACAACAGCCCCGGCCAAACACAAAGCTAAACTGTTTGCTACTCCATTCCAATTGAAGTATATTCTAGTCATGGGTGTTATAGCCGTTTCCAAACCAGTCTGGACATACATTGCTAGAAAAGCAGTGGTTAAACAAACTATAACTTCTTCTCTGAGAAATTCTCTGATAAACACCTTCCATCCACTTTCAATAATTAAAACTCTCCCTTCAATATTTTCAGTAGTTTCTGCATCTTGGAAAGATCCGTAATTACGATTTTCGTTGACAGCTACAGAATGATTATTACAATTGAAGTCTTATTTTGATCAATATTTTTAAACAAAATAGCAAATAAAATGCTGTGTAGAGCCCATAAAATCGCCATGAATAGTCCAGGTGATGTATTTTCATCTACAACAAAAGGTCCTAACTTGAAATTCAGCTTATATAGAAATAAGTTAAAACCTGGACCAACTAAAAGTCCAATTTGGCGTAGACCCATCAAGATGGCAAACATAGATGTTCTTTCTTTTGCCGTAGTTGTGTGGGAAATTAGTCCAAACAGAGTAGATGCCGCTCCAGATCCTAATCCAGCAATGAGTCGTCCAGACCAAACCAAATACTGATTCTTCCCTATGAAATACATAAGGTTTCCGATAATTTCACCGATGTTTCCTACTATAACACAAGCTTTAGTGGACCCGGTTTTGTCTGCAACCCATCCATATAATGGTGCACTCACCAACCCTCCAAAACTGAAAGAGGCCAGAACAATGCCGAGAAATGTTTGCTCTGCACCAAGGCTTATCAAATATCCATTTATCGTTGGTAGGATGACAGCATATTCCACACCACAGAAGAAAAAATACAGTCCCATGCAAATATTTCGAGCAAGAGGTTTTTCACAATTTGCCATTTTAATTTCTTCCAAAACCGATGTGGTCAATTTTCATTTCTTGATGAAGTTTTGGATTCAATGAGACTATTAACATACCTAATTATATTATTGTAATCCTACGAGCTATAAAAACACTGTTAAAACAGAATAAAACAAATTGAGCATTTAAAATCTATTCAGCAGTAGGCTACATGTTTTGATCAAGAAACAACATAAGAACACTATAAAGGGCAAATAAAAACAACCTCAAACTTAAGTTTGAGGGGGCGCATGGCATAACCTGAGAGAGTCGAAGGCTCAAATATTGTAAATTAAATGATGTGGATCTTGATTTTTTTCCCCATCAATCACTACTGAAGAGGGTCTTTCTATCATTATTGTGAGAAGTACAATTTATTTAATGTCGGCTTTCATATCTCGGATGATCGTGTTTCATGTCATAAAAGAATAGTCAGTTTAGTATTTTTCCCTAGAAAAATCAACACATGCAACTTGCAGCTATGCATTTGACATAAGTCGAATATGTTTCAAGTATTTCAAACCACAATTACAAATCAAGTTCAAACAAAACCTTAAAATAACATAACAGCACCAGCATTTTTATGTTAGAGTGGTTTTTTTTTGTAGCCACTGGGATGGTACAAGAAAGTTGACAAATATTGGTAATGTTAATTCACATCAGTATTGATCCCAACACTGTAAATAATCATATAAGATTAAAATATGTATGAAAATTTCAATCCCACTTGAAATGTTATTAATTAATTATTGTCGGATAACTCTGACAGTTCTTATGCAGAACCTATATACCACCAGCATAAAGCAAATTTGTGTTTAAACAAATGTAAGTATTTTTGTACAGTTATGCCCAACAAGTTCGTTTTGCAATATGAGCAAGAGCAGTATATTGTATCAGAAGCAACCAACTGATTGTATATATCTATACCCATCACAGACTAGTGATCTGGTGACAGGGCCATGATAGTATTGAGCCATCTCATCATATTTATCTCGCCTGGTATAAATATGGAAATTTTACTTTTCAATAGGTAGATAGATATTACGAATAGATATTACGCAACATTTTATTCATAATTGATACATGACTTCTCAAAATAACATATCTAAAACAGAATGGTCAGATGACTGTTCAATATGAAAACGCAGAGTATACTTTAATAAAAAGTATATTAATAGTAATGGCTATAATGCCGTTCAAAAATATAATGGGTGACCATGAATACATACTTTACATAGATATATTCATTGTTCTTCATTATAAAAAGTGAAGAATAAAACTAATTTCATACTATACCATCAAGCAAAGTTTATAAATTAACCAATGAATAATTTATATAGTTAAAAGGTTCAACCCCTTTTCCTACCACCTTACCCAGGTTGAATGAATTAGGTGAACAATTCTTTCCATGAATAGTAGCTCCATACACATCAGTGGCGGTTTGTCTAGAGCAGGGCTGCACAACTCAAATGAGGATACGTCCCAAATTTTTCAAAATAATCTTGTCGCGTACCACGCACAATTGTGGTATTGTAAATTAACTCCCGCAAAACAAACAAATTTCAATAATAATACATAATAACGGATATCTATTTATTGAAACAATTTAATGTCCTGAAAAACTGCTGATTTTGATATAAACGTGATATTTTAATGTGTATCATAAATATTTTTTTTTCACAAAACTGTTCGCGTGCCACGTTTGAGCGTATGGCGTGCCAAATTTGGCACGCGTACCGCGTGTTGTGCACCCCTGGTCTAGAGCACCGGTTCTCAACGAGTGGGTCATGGCACACTGCTAGGCCACAGAAACATTTCCAGGTGGGCCAAAACCTACTGTAAATTGCACAAGAGTTATTGATAAATTTATTTACATTTGTGTCACTATAAATAAATTTTGATTGCAGTAGCAATAAAAGATGCTTCTGTTGTTTGCTGTGGAGTGTTAATTTTCATTCTAATCATCAATAAAGTAAAAGTGTCTATATTGTGGGAAGATTTTTTTTTTTTGTAGTTTTATCCTGGCATTGAAAAGTTAATGGGCCATGAAATCTTTGTTCAACAAAAATGGGCTACGACAGAAAAAAGGTTGAGAACCACTGGTTTGGAGGTTTATTCAAAGTGAAAACACCTCTTCAATAATTTGAAATTCGTAATTGACGTTGAAATATCTCAATATCAACTGTGTGTGACTAAAAATCATAAATGCCAAGCGATAAACATGGAATATTATATCCTTGATAAAAACAGGTAAAACCTGCCAGACAAAAATTAGTACAACTGAAATGAGTAAACAGTTTGTCAAGTGTGAGGTTCCTCAGTCTCAAGAAGTTTGGATTGAGGTTGCCCTGTTCCACATGTATTGTATGATTTACATTTAGAACATTTCAGTCCCAGAACATGAAATCGGACATTAGACACTCCCTGACAGTCCTTACAAAGAATCCATATCAATGTGTTAGCATATTCGTCTGGCATAGGTGTCACAGCAATCTCTTCATCAAGATTTTCCCAAACTTTTGACATTTCCAAAGTCGATTTGCCACATGACGGACATCGATATTCATTGTGTTGAAGCATTACAGAATAGCATTTTCTGGAAGATAAAGGCTTAATTACTTGAAGGGTGTTGTCATGAAGCTATTTCAATATTCATATTAAACAAATAAGGGGAAATTGAAAGATTGACTTGAACCAATCACCGAATTCTTATGATTGCGAAGTCACTCAATCATAAATTGTTAAAATTTAAATTTATTAACTTGATGATAAATGATGATATAAAGAAGTGTTGTGCAGATGCAGATGGCCAACAAGTACACATAAAAAACTTTCTATCAAAAAAACTATGAGAACATTCTTTAGCATATGTTAACCAGAACCAAGACAAATAACAACCTTTGAAGTAGAGATAATTTGAAACAAAACTAGTTAAAATCATTGTTACAACTCTTTGAAGAACGACTAGTGACCTATATATTTTCCCCTATAAATTAGGGATCCACAAGCTTAAACCACAACTAAATTTCACAACTATTCCTTTGATTAACCAAGTTTAGAATCAGAATTCTTTTGATATACCACTATGACTATTTAGTCAAATTTTTTTGTCTGAAAAATCTTACACACAGCCAAAAGAAAAGTTACACAATATGCAGCAAGACTATCGAGTGATTTCAAGTTTAAATAGCCTTGTAAAAACCTTCGTGAAAAAATTTAAATTCATTCATATCACACAATTGCACCAGTGTGGCATGGTATCATATTGGTAGATGGGAAAACATTAATGAAAAAACTCACTGGTGAATAAGATGGCCACACGAGGGAACCTTTAATGACTCCGTGGATGTGTGCATATCTTCTAAACACACTGGACAATTGGATTTCGATGATTTTTCCACACATCTTAATAAAAAGTAACAAGCTTGCCACAAGCTCTCAACACAATGTGTATCAATAAAGAACAAAAATTTTAAATATCGTTTTCCATTAATATTTAACCCCTAAGCCAAGGGTAATAAAATATTGCATATTTTAAACCTTCTAAATCAATGCTCAAAGGCTGAATATAATAAATTGTAAATACCAAAAATCAACCTTATTAAATGCCATTGACAAATTATAAATTAAAATGGGAAACAGCAGAGTGTGAATTTGGCATTTTTATTTTGTACATGCATGAATCTGATTGAGAGAACAATTGTTGAGATTGAGGAATTGTTGAAATTGACATAAAAATACAAAACAACGAAAAGAGCATAAATTAATTTGAAAAATACATACTTATGAGAATCCTTGATATCAATACTTAAGCATAGATCACATTTCGCGCAGTGAAAAAAATTTGCACGTCCCCCTACTCGACACAAACCACAATCATCACAATGATATTGCTTACGATCTCTGTCATCAAACATGTTACATATAGAACAGTGATATTTTCCAAAATTTGTACTGCAAACTTTGCATCTGAAATATTTTTTAAATTTTTAAACATAATTAGGTCACAAAGCTTGGTTTATAAATTTAATGCCTTTTTAAGAGCTCTTAGCTCAAGGTTCTATTAGATTAAGGAAAATATCAATAAAAAAAGTTGTTTCAAAAACAAATACCGAAACTATGTTAGAAAAATGGCCAGTACAAAGAATATATATACAAATTTAAAAAAAAAGCGATCAACTATTTTAACGAGAAGCCAAGAAGCTTGGTATCAAGGTTTTATCATTAAATTTGAAACTGACTCTGGAGAAACTTCTTGAACAGTGCTACAATTGTTGCACTTGATATGCTTCACAAGGTAGCGATTCAGTTTGTGATTACACTTCTCATCATGGCATAGGCGGCAAGGATAAAATTTCCAGCATGTAGAGCACTCTAACAGACATCTTCTTATGTAGTGTGTGCAAATTTCACTCTCTGTCTCTGTGTGAGAATTTTTACCTATATCTGACATTTTGAGTTTGTAACTATATTTAACTTATCTGCAACACACATAAATATAAACAATACTGATTAACTGTTCACATTGTAACAAGAACAATAGCAATAGGGACTGGGATATTAATGAATACCAGAATAAATCTTCATATTTAACAACTGACTTACTAATCCTAGAATCCCATACACGGCTTGGAATTGTTAAGTCGTCTTAGGATAGGATTTGCATATTTTGAATTATATTTATAATATTATTTATCGCGGGGGAGAGGAAAGTTGACAAGACAGCGCAATCATATGGCGAACCACGGCTATAACGACTTTCCTTTCATCCGAGGTAAATATGTAAATCCTATCCTATGTACTTCCAAACATCGAAGTAAATTTTTTCGCGATATCGCACACTTTGGGAATCACTGACCTAGGCCCTCTCATCGTATAAATCGGCCGTGAGCCCGTGACTGCAACTAATCCTCCCCGAACACAAAATTACTTCGGCCTTCTCAATTTCAAGACAGCACGGTACGGCAGTAACTGGATAAGGTTTTCATCAGTATTTACTGATTTATCCAGTCCAATTTTAATATTCCAAGTTATATTGTCCATTTCGAATTGTATTCCATGTTGTGATCTGCAGAGTAGGCCTACCATTTGAAGATATTCATTTTACTGTTTTAGTTTATGGATTAGGCATATAGGCAGTTCTTCATTATATTGCAGAATGGACAGATGGACCAATGCCCATCATTGTTATAAATAAATCTCTCCCTGTCCCCCATTCCCGACATGAACTGACAACCGGACGAGAGCCGGGGTTCGCCATATGACCCCGGCTCAAATATTGAAATATGAAAATCCCAAGATGTTAACTACGTTAAATATTGTAATATATATTCTGAAATCGGAAAATATTTTACATGCGACGACCTATAAATAACAGACGCAATAAGGTCGTTTATTAGTTCAAGGGTTGGGGTTTCGGGGCCAATTTTTGAAATCCCCGTATCGGGATATCCCGGGATTGAGCTGTATAATCCCGGGACTTTTCGGGATTAAGTAAAAGATTCTTTAAATATTCGCGGCACACCTATCACAAAACACGATCATTTTCTACTCATAAAGAGTGCGATAGTCGAACGCGATCATGGGGGTCTCGTGTAGTTTCGTACCGGTACCTAACGTAGCATAACAATTTTTTGATATGTCAATCCTAACCCCCATCTGATTACGCCATCAAAAAAATAAATCACTACGACATCACAATCACGTCATAGAGCTTGCCAAATATACGCACGATCGATCGAAATGGCATTGGCGCCGACGATAAAGAACTGGCTGACGTTATCGGTCTCTCTCCTATTGAAATCGTTCCAACTGTTTTCTTACGTTAATGTAAACAAGAGCGTCTTCGGAGCACCTCACATTATTTTAAAAGTTGTGCAGCCGCACGGGTAATACCAATTGCTCGCCCCACGTTTTTTTTTTTTTTTTTTTTTTTTTTTTTTTTTTTTTTTTTTTTTACCAGCGATTATTTTTTTTTTTTTTTTTTTTTTTTTTTTTTTTAAAACAATTAGATTAATTTCAATATCAAGTTCAGTTGAATTCAATGGTAGTCCATTCATGATTCCAAATATGCATCATGATGTCGTTGCATCATTTAGTTCATGTTCCATATTCCATTGTATTTCGGTAATCATGAATAAGTCCAGCAATTATATGTTCCATATTGTAGTTCATCCAATGCGACATACATTTGTTTGATCATTCATTTATGTGAAATATCATTTACATTATATTAACATGAGAAAAGAAAAATGGTTTCGCAAATTAGTTACATAACAATCAAAACTATCTAAAAGTAATCTCTCATCTATTACTCAATTTATTATAAAAAAAGCATACAATAAGGTAGAAATGAATCAACGCACTGATTTTTCTATTAATCCACCAATGATGGTGTTCAAATACAATATTTTTCTCGTTTGTGGCATACAGTTCAAATGTCCTATCATATTGGCTTTCCATTGTGTTCTTAAAATACTTTGATTCTTAGTAAATCTATCATATTTAACAATGTTTCTGTACCGCCATATGCAATATTTGCCAATTCCAATAATAAGCAACAAATTTTCCTCTATTATTTCTTTTAGCAGAACAATATTTTGTACGTTTCTAAACATATTATCAATTTCACACCAGTCCCAGAAGTTTTTTGTAAAATCACAATTTACAAATAAATGATACACTGTTTCAGTTTCATTTGAATCACAGAGAACACAATAGCCATCCTCATCTTGGAACCATGACTTTAGTACAATTCCTAAAGGTAAAGCAAAATTTGCTATCTTCCAATTTAAGTCTTGAGTTTTTCTGGGTAAGTCATAAAATCTAATTTTATTCCAATTCACATTTGAATATTCTGTTCTATACCAGTCATAGAAGCGTTCATTTAGGGTCCTTTTTCTATTTGTGACTTCTTCACTCATCAGTCTAATATAAAGCTGCTTGGTTTTGGGCTGGAATTTTGTATCAAAATTGTCAATGGATATATTATTATATTGTTCGATGTTGGTTGAGACAAGTGTCCAATTATTCATGTTAATTAAAATATTCTGTTTAAAAGTTCTTACCCTACTTAAAGTTTGTTGGTTAATCCCCGAAGTGTTTCTAGTCAACATAAGCACTATCTGAGAACATTCCACATTAAATAAGTCACCCAATGTATGTATCCCTGTCCTAATCCAGTTTCTATAGTCATATGGATAAATAATATCACCCAATATAGGGTTATACCATATGTACTCACGAAATATGTCTATTTCGTTATTAGGATATATCACTCTATTTATTTTCAATAATCTGAAATTTTTTAGAAGTTCTACATAAAATGGTGGTATAGCACTTGGTATATTTCTCAGTGGGAACTGCAGGAAGAGATTTTCAAATGAATTTGTCACAAAAAGACCATTACTATGTTGTATAAAGTATTTAGCTAATTTGGTCCAGGGCCCACTGTGGCCATGTAATAATTTAATACCCCACTTGAGTTGGATAGCTTTAATTTTCCTTTCAAAATTTACTAATTTTATTCCTCCTTCTTCAAGATCAAAATACATTTGGGTTCTGCTAATCATTTCTGTTTTGTTATTCCAGATATATGACCAAATTAGATTCTTAATGGATTTTATGATTTCTCCCGGTACTACAATACATGATGCTAAATACCACAATTTTGATAAAAGATAACAGTCAATTATTATTTTTTTCCCTTTTAGACTTAAAGATCGTTGTTTCCATAAGGTTAAGGTTTGTTCTATTTTCGGTACTACAGATTCCCAATTTTTAGATTCACATTCTTGCACATTATTGCTAAACCAAATTCCTAATATTTTCAAGCACGAATAGATTTTAATTTTGTTGAAAAATTTGATACGAATGTCTCGATATTCTCCAGCTAATAAAATGCCACATTTTTCTAAGTTCAATTTAGTTCCAACAGCTTCCTGATATTGCTGACATATATGGAGTAAAAAACCTACAGAGTTAAAATTTCTCATTAAGACAGTGGCATCATCTGCAAATTGTTTTTTTTTTCTTCTGATCCATCTGGCATTTCAAATCCAATAATATTTTTGTTTATTTTAACATTACAAGCAAAAACTTCTGCAAAAAATGTATAAATATGGAGACAAGGGACACCCTTGTCGGACTCCCCTCTCAATCTGTATGTATTGAGACATGAATCCATTTACTGAAACTCTACTAAAATTTCCATTATACAAAGTATATATACTGGAGATGAACTTATTTCCAAAATTTAAGTGTTTTAAAATTTTAAATAAAAACATCCTGTCTACTGTGTCGTATGCTTTTCTTGGTCTAACGAGCATACAATCAGAGGTTTATCTTCAATATTAGCATATGAAATGATGTCTTTAATGAATATTAGACTTTCAGAGATTTCTCTATTTGGTACAAATCCAGTCTGATCCTCTTGTATTACACTGCCTATAATCTGCTTTAATCTATTTGCTAAAGTTTTTGCTAATATTTTATAATCTACATTCAGTAGAGATATTGGTCTCCAATTTCTTATAAGGTGTCTTTCTCCTTTTTTGTACAATAACGTGATAATAGCTTCATTCATAGATTTCGACATACGTTGTTGTGCCAGACATGCTTTGTATATGATCATTAATATTGTTCGTATGTGTTGCCAGAATGCGATATAAAACTCCTTCTGTAGCCCATCAGATCCAGGGGATTTATTGTTTTTCATTTGTATCAATGACGCTTTTATTTCCTGTTCTTGGATTTCCTCCTCCAAATCATTTTTATCTGTTGTTGTTATTTTTGCTTTGTAGTTATTTAATAGCTCCTGCTGTATATTAGAATCTGTTGTGTGGTAACGATATAAATTTGCATAAAACAATTCAATCTCTTTTAGAATTTCTTTTTGTTCATATAACATTTGTCCATTTTCTTTTTTTAATTCAGTCCAAGTTTTACTTTTCGCTCTTGTTTTTTCCAGGTTTAAAAAATAGGAATTTGGTTTCTCCCCCTTTTCCGTCCATTTAGCACGAGATCTTATTATGCTTCCTCTAATATTATTGAGTTGATATTCTTCCATTTCTTTTCGAAGTTTATTGATAGTCTCTGTTTTTTCTGTTTGTTCTTGTGTATTCTATATTGCGGATAGTTCTTGAAGTAATTTGCTGTATAATTGAATGTTTTCCTTTTTTTTTTGTTTTCTCTTGTTGTCTAATTATTTTTCCTCGATGACAAGCCCATATTCTAATTTTTTTCTTGCAATTGTCCCAAAACAAGAGAATCCTTCCAACTGGTAAATCTGCTATTTCTTTTGACCATTTAGTTAAGGCTAATTTTATCCCATTCGTGAAAACCTCATCATTTAATAGTGAAATGTTGAATTTCCAATATCCTTTCCCTGCTTTAAGTTTGGCAATATTTTTCATTGTCAGAGTTATTGGCATGTGGTCAGATAAAACACTTGTTAAAATGTCAGAGGATTGTATAATTGCTCTTAAATTATCTGACA